TCAAATCAGAGTAGACTTAACGGCCATAAAAACAGAAAGGAAATGACCCTGAAGAGCACTTAAAATGTGTTTGCCCCAGCACAGTTCTCCAGAAGCAGGACAGTTGCATTGCAGAGGTTTGCTACTACAGAAAAGAGGCAGTTTTAGTTTAAAATTAAGCTAAAATGAATGCTGCTACATACTGTTTGGGGTTGTATATTGTTTGAAATACCTAATGATTTCACTCCAAATTATTGTTAAACTATAAGAACTTCTCAATCTAAAGACATTATCAGTCTCCTAAATAAGAGAAATATGGCTTTATAACATCTGCAGGATAGACCATATGTCACCAAATTGCAAATTGCTGAAATGGCAGTATTCTATAAATATATGTCAGGTTTTTAAATATGCTGACTCTTGTGATTCAATTATAATACAAAATGTTTCTAGTTCTAGGCCGTACCATTCAGGTTACTTCATCTTCCAGATTTTTAATCAGGTTAACAGTGAAGCCAGTATGCAGATGTATGAAACAAATATATTTTGTCTAGTTGTTGAATGTATGTTAAAACGTATGAGTAAAAACAACATCTGAATTGTCACAGTCATATGCTTGTATTGTCCTGGTTTTCTAGTTACTAATGTCACTGTAGTTTGGGACCTGGAAGTCATAAGACTAAGGATGCAAATTTTCAATTACTGTGTTTTCCCAGGACAAAAATGACAGGAAAAAAATCTGCAGCCACTGAGAAAAGCTGCAATGAGGAAATATTATGAAATATTTGTGTACAATTTTCCCCTAAAAATATTTTTGAACCAAAATAATATTTTGTACACAAAACAGATATTTTGTATTTTTGCTGATAAAGAAAAAAAGGTTAAGCTATCTTTTCTCCCCCATGAAGAGATGAAAAATTTCATGATGGTTGAGAATTATTTCAATAGAGTATCTCAATCAAAGAAAAGAATATTTGGGAATATTATATACACTTCTGTTATTGGATGTTTTGGGAAGGAGTGGTATCTAAAAATACAACAATAGCACCAATATTAGCAATAAATTACTCATCTCTAGAATACTGTCCTTGAAATTTCTTGAAGTCAAATAAGATCTTGGGATAGGCAAATTCCCTAGCTTGTTTTGCACTTGCCACCACAATTTCTTCAATTAAATTTAAAAAGAAAAAAAGCAATCAGATTATCAGGGGAAGAAAGGATTATTTTTCCTTTGCACCATGAATGAAAGTCTGAGGTGTCTCCCCTTTTCAGGGGAGAAAAGGGTTAAGGTTTTCCTTTGAGGCTGGGACGGACAGTCCACAATAGCTGCTACATTCTCCAAAACTCATGGCGAAAACATATTTCTTTTACTACATAGTAAAAAGTGTTTTCTCAATCTGATAGAAAGCACATTCATAAGACAAAAGACAGAGAAAGATGGGAAGATTTTTTTTCCCCATTTAATATAACTTTGACACAACTTCAGATTGGGTTTGGTTTGGGATGACATTAAGACAATGCCATATGGTAAAATGTGTTTTTATTAGTGTTCGGGGCAGCAATTCCCAAACTTTGCCCCGCATAATCTTAGAGTTCCTCAAAGCCTTTTAAAGGTTCCACACAAGTATTTTTTAAAAAGATTTAAAAATAAAACCACAAGAGGCCATTTATTTAATGTACAGTTTTCATAGCAGCTATTTGTGCTACAACTATTGCTACCAGGTACATAGTAACTGACTACACATTTCAACATTTTACAACAAGTGTTTTATACGCAATGAATTTTTCATGTTGATTCCAAAATTGTTTTTGCTTTTTTTTCTTTCTTGTAGTTTTTGAGATGAAAGACATTTGGGATATTGGGATATTATTCATAAAATACCAGAGTAAATTTTACTCAAAAACTAAATGTTATATAGGAAATTGGGAGACATATTTTAATTAATATAAAATGACCCAGAATATATTTTGAACAAATCAGAGACAGAGTTAAGGCTCCATGAAAATTAAATGTCTTCTGAAAATTCTAGGACTGCAAAAGATGAGAGTCATTGGTCTAGAGCAGTGTTTCTTAGCTTGTGGGTCCCCAGGTGTTTTGACCTATAACTCCCAGAAATCCCAGCCAGTTTACCAGCTCTTAAGATTTCTGGGAATTGAAGGCCAAAACATCTGGGAACCCACAGTTTGAGTACCTCCAATGTGGCTTACCAACTGGTAATGTAACATCCTTAATCATACTGCAGTGGGCGGAAAGATCTAAGTTTGTTGTAACCAACTTGTGAAAGATTCAACCCCTATCCATGCAGTCCCAACTCCACAGAGTGGCCATTTTGTGCATCCCCAAGTGTCCGTTTTGTTATAGATTATGATATCTCCAAGAAGCTTCCTCAAAAATATGATAGCGGTTTCAAGCCCTTAGGTGATTCTGCAATAGCACTTTTTTAAAAATGCATATTGATTCCTTGCATTCTTATCAGGAGAGAACTAAGAAAGGGGTTTCATGTCACAAGGATACAAGAACTCTATCCTTATGCCTTTGCTGTAAAGTCTTTGAGCTTTTAATAGTGTGAATATATTACTTCATATCCATGCAAGCACTGTGGATCTTACAAATGGCACCTCATATAACACTAACATTAACCACTCAGATGATGGTAATAGTTTCTTGGTGGTGAAACATGTATTTATCTCTCCCAGTGATGCAGAAAATGAATGCCAATGCTATATTATCAGCTTTGATGGAGCTGAAACACATAGGTTGCCCTTTTCTCAATTGCTACAATGAAGAGAAAATCTTCTAACAAAGGTGTATATGTAGCAAGTTAGGATGGGAATGTGTTGATTCAGAGATAGAATAACAAGCCATAGATGATGATGGTGGTGGTGATGATGATGATGATGATGATGACGATGATGATGACGATGATGACGACAATGATGATGATAATCTTTATTTCTATCCCACCCCATCTCCCCAAAAGGACTTGGTGCAACTCATAAAATGAGTAAAACACAATAAATAATATATACAAAGTAAATGAAAAATTAATAAGAAAAACCAATAAAACAAAATAACTATTAAACAATAAACAATCAAACATTAATTAAACACATTTGAAGCATACTAGTTCCATAAACAAGTTAATTAAAAGCCAAAGTGCCCAAGTGTATCCATAAAAACAAAGACCTTGTCCACATTAGGGGTTACTAATCATTTTCAAAGGCTTGCTTAAGTGGCCAAGTCTTTACTCCTTCTTGAAAGTCAGGAGGGTGGTTACTTGTCTGATTTCCCTGGGGAGGTCATTCCAAAGCTGAGAAGGCCCTCTCCCTTGTCCCCACCAACTTTACTTGCAATGGAGGCAGGATCGAGGGGGGGGGGCTCCCCAGCTGATCTAAACACCCAAACAGGTTCATAAAGAGAGATGTGGTCATGTAAATAGGCAGGACCTTAACTATACACACACACACACACACACACCCTTATTGTAGTTTTCTACCAAACAACCACTCTAAAGATACTGCTGGTGCTAAGTCCAACTAAAATAAAAACTCCCATCTGAAAATAACAGATCACTTCACTGCATATCCATGTTGTGCAATTGCATTAATGTGGGCAAAGTACAAGGTGTTGATTGCTATCTTTAAAACTCTCCATCGTTTGAGTCCAGATACCTACACAATCACATTCTCCCATGCAATCTTCCGCATACACTCAGGACCTTTGAAGAACATTAAATTCAGTCAGCCAGAATTTTATGCTGATCACCTTTCCCCTCAACATCTCTTATTTAGCCACTCCCAAATTGTGGAGTGACCTTCCAGATTAAATTTGACATCTGGATATGCTGTCTGGATTTAAAACAGCGCTAAAATGAATCAAAATGATTTTACAATATAAGGTTTGAATTTATGAATTATTTTAATATTATGCTATTTTAATTGGTGTTTTAAAATCGGTATTTGCATTTTAATTTGATGTTTCCCACCACGGCTTACGAAGGGTTAAAGAAAAGTGCACATCCTGGCTTCTTGATACCCAGCATTGCAAGAAAGTAATATATTACTTGTTGAATGTTTTTAATAATTTGAAAAGAAGAAAAACATCCCAAACAATTTGAATTTTTGGGCATCTCCCTGCCTGCTGTGTTCTTTAATTTTCTTGCCATACTTTTACCAATTTTATTGTATTGCAAAATAATAATGATAATGATAATGATAATAAATGAAATTCATAATTACACCAGTCCTAAAACAATGATCACATTCTCAGACCATTTTCATCTGTTCAGACATTTCCATCATGCTTCCAGAGATATTCATTCTCTTTTTTTTTCTTATGTGTGTATTATGTACAGAAAATATGGAACTTTCATTACCCATATGTTATTGTTATAAGAGATGATAGCTAGGACAGATGTTCATGGGCCTCAACTAATTAACTGGGTTCTTAGTTCCATAGGTAGCTCTATGATTCATTTCAAACATGATGAATAAAAAACAGTACATTTGCACATTCATGTACATTAAGTAATTTGTCTTTGATATTGGCCTGAATACAGTGAAGCCTATTAGTTAACTTCCTCCTAACTTTGAATTAAATATATAAACATATTTCTAGTGTTTTAGTTTTTAAAATAAAATATTGGCGTGAGTTTTTAAAGTAATGTACCTTCTATTTTTTCATACCTAATAACAGTAAATAATTAGAGATATAATGGACCACTATATCTGCAAGGGTTTTGGTTCTTTTGGAAACAAAAAAAAATGCAGATGATCACAGTTTCTATTAGGAAAGGATGGTGACACAAATGCACACACTTCATTGTGTCCACATTCTCATGACTCTCATTTAATAATATGGGGCATGGCAATCCATGGCAGATGGACATCACAGATCCAGAGCCCATGGATCCAGAGGGACCATTGTAATCGCTTTCAAATAATATAGTGGCCACTTTGCTTTCATGCAGGCCACCAAATAAATATATGTTAAATATTTACATTGTTTCGCAGAGGTTTACCTTTCTCACGGATTCTGTTGAAGACCTTCACTTCCTTCAGGTTTACTCCCAAGCCTGTTCTCATGGACATAGCCTCTGTGGCATCATTTTTGTTGCCTCGTCTGATGGAACCATTTGCATGAGCTCTGCCAAAAAAATATTGGAGATATCTGACCCACAATTCTAAACTAATTAAAATCAAGTCATTAATTAAAATGCAGGCGACATCTGGATTAACAGAAGGTGAAGAAGCACACTTTTTCTTTGTGACATTGATGTGGTTTAGCTTTGAATATCCAAAGTGCCTTTTCCCTGGAAATTACATGGCTTTGTGGGATCCTTTCTGTGACCTTGCTAAAGAATAGCTAATCCTACAAGGGTGAAGCATCTGGCACAGAAATCACATTTTGAGACTCAAATGCTTATAGAAAAAATAAATTACCTGTCAGACCAGTAGATGTAAGCCCCAAAGACTGCAACTGAAAAAATATCCACATTGCTCCCTGACAAAACAATCTCCCGATTCCTTCCACTTTCAAGGTCAATTCTTTCTATCTTGTCCATTCGAGCATCACACCAATATAATTTATTTTCCTAAGGATCAATTCAAAAGCAAACTGATAATTGTTTGGTCAGAATGTGTAGGAATTTTTGTTATGAAATAGTTGTTTCAGTATGATATATAATTTATGACCTCAGAAGACAGAAAAACAAACCTCAAAGTCCACTGAAATTCCATTAGGCCATGTAACCCCAGTTCCAACAAGAACACTCTTTTCAGATCCATCTAAATGTGCTTTTCCTATGCAGGGTGACTGGCCCCATTCTGTCCAAAATAAATACCTAGAATATGGGGAAAATATGATTAGATCATAAGGTTTTGAAACCAGTGGATCACACAATGCTTATTATGAGCAGAAGGAATCCAGATCTGGCCACCCTGGTACAGGCATGTAGCTGGGCGAGGGGGGGGGGGCTTGAGGGGCTTCACCCCCCCCCCGAAATTCTCATGGTGGTTCGCAAAAAGGCCTTACTGGTGCATTATTTAAACTGTTATGTTTATTCATATCATGATCTGATCACTCTACTCAATATATCCCATATGCATGGGGGTATTTGGGTTATGATACAAAAGGTTTCCTAGGCTAGACCCTCTTTCACTCAGACTCGCCCCCCCCCCGAAACGCAGCCCCCCCGAACTTCCCCCCTGAAAAAATTCACCCCCCCCAAAAACAAAATCCTGGCTACGGGCCTGCCGTGGTAGATGCCTTAGTTACATCCTGTCTGGATTACTGTAATGCTATTGAAAAGTGCTTGGAAACTTCAGCTGGTCCAAAGAGTTGCAGCCAGGTTGCTAACTAGAGCTGGCTACAGGGAGCAGACAATCCCCCTGTTGAAGTAGCTCCACTGGCTGCCAGTCTGTTTCTAGGCACAATTCAAAGTGCTGGTTAAGACTTTTAAAGCCCTAGTCAGTTTACGTCCAGGCTAGTTGGCCAACCACATCCTGTTGTCTGATCATGTCAGCGAGTGCTGTGGTTTTAGCTTTGAATATGTTTTTATGGATTTTAACTGTGAAAATTTTAATACCATTAATATTTAATTCTGTTTAAATGTTTGTATTTTTGCAGATTTTAAATTATACTGAAAAGCTTTGGTCTCCTTGTGGAGAAAAATAGTGAGGTATAAATAAACACAACAATAATAATAATATTCATGGAGATGTCCATTATGGATATTTTCATCATCACCTCCTTAATGCAGACTATGATGTAAGAGGCAGGAGTTTGCTAGAGGAGGTAAAAATGGCTTGTGCTGAAAATGATGAGTGAGAATAATGAATTTACAAAGAATTCATCAGTGGTAGTATACAAAACATCTCCGGATTGCTTTTCAAATTATTTTATAATTGTTGACAGATTCTTGAATATCACAAATGTGCATTAGTACTACATTATTCATAAAGACTTTTGTTAGTGTATTAATTAGCTAATAAATAATAATTGATACAGGCTGTCCCTGTATTATTCTGTAAATAAACTATCTTTCCAAATTGAGAATGGACTAGTGAATATAATAAGGCTTCAAAAAATAGCATAGGAGTGAGAATTATGAAGCCCTTGACACATTGTTGGGCAACAGCTTTCAGCAATCCTAGTCAGTATTCTGTTCAATAGATTTGATCAATTGCATGCATACTAATTATTATGTTACCCTTTTTCTGGGTGTACTGCTATAGCTCTTGGCTGGTCCAGACCTTGAGAAATAACAACATATCGAAAGGAGCCATTGAGCCTGGCAACTTCAATAAAGTTGAAGCCATGATCAGTCCAAAATATATTACCTGGAAAAAAAGCAAATTGTTATTTTTCTTGATTTGTAACAGTTCAGTGGTACCATGCTTGTTTGAAAATTTTGCCCAACAGTGCTCATTGTCTTTCTCCATTGAAAGACAAGTATTTTCTTTTTTGAAAACAGCCTCTGTTCTAGTCAACATGATCTTTTCAAATTTGATGATAATTTAATAATATAGTTATTTTCATAACTAAACCAAAAATGGAGACAAGAAAAACTGCAAAGCAAACTGAAAGATGTAAACTTTCTTATTACTGAAGGCAAGGCTACATGTGTGAAAAATCTAAGTCATGTCTAAAGATGCAATTACATGGGCCACTGACAATGGAACCAGGCTGGAGTGGCAGTACTCCAGGCCAGCCCTAAGGGTGGATACACTGCTTTTTTCTGTCCCACTGTGGCATTGCAGTGGAGTCCAGACTGTCCAGAGGATCTACACCTGGTTCATTCCTGCTGGATGGCCATCCTTACCTGTGTTGTTCTGGCTTATATAAACAATTCAGAGATGTGAGATAGAAAGGAAGGTAGTGATTCCTTTCTCTGAATCACACAGGCACGTTTGCTTATATGGGGGAAGGCAACCAGGGATGTCCGGGAGCTCTTTGGAGATCTGTGGCCACAGCTTTGTTGGCAACAATACAGCACAGGTAAGTGACATTATCTTTTCCCATGCTGTAAATCAGAACCAGCTCAACTACCCTGAAGTGCAAGGCGGCCATGGAGATTCAGGGAAGCTCCAAAACATTTTCTGACTTTCTCTAATGTGGGGCACAACTGTGTTAGGTGCCTATGCCCCATGAAGTAAATTCCATGGAACTATTTCCCCCCACTACAGGGTATAGTTCTCATTTCAATATGCCCTAACTTGTAAATAGAAGGGAGGCAGGAAGGGACAAATGACTCAACTTTTAAAAGGTGGTGTCTAGTGATGAAGTTCAATAAAGCTTATGCTATTTTATTGCTTATTTGATCTTAAAGGTACTACTAGGAATGGAAGTAATATTTAAAAATGTTCAGAGAATGGTTGAATAACATTTTTTTAATTGTTACAAAGGCCTAATGAGAAAAATCCTGGGTTAATGCAAATCTTTGCTGTTCAAGACTTATTCTGCACAAAATTTTATGTTTATTTTGTGCGGAAAAGAGCATTTTCTTTACAGGGAACAGATTTTTTGGATGAAAATATTTCAACACATAATTATTCATTCCAGTTCAGAAAATTGTGGAATTAGGGATCTTTTTGTACATGGTTGATTTGCAAGGAATATAGAAATATGGTTTTCCACAAAGAATATGCTCTTTTTTGTGAAAATTTCTTTTCTGTGAAAATTTCTGTACATGAAATTTGTACAGAAGAAACTCTGAATTTCCTTGACAATTTTCCATTTGAAAAGTGAGGGATTTTCAAAGACTTTGAAGTAGCAGGAACAATAATGTTGACATTCTTCATTGTTACATGATCCCTTTAATCTTCTCATAAAGTATTTAAAATCTTTACAATTAAATAACTTTTTGTACCCGCAATCCAGTCCACTGCAATGCCTTCCACTCTTCCCAAACCATTTGTAATGATATCTTCTTTCCAGGTCTGATCCCTTCTAGCTCTACTTATTTTGTTGAATCCCATGTCTGTCCAATAGATTGTATCATTTCCTATAAAACAAAAATTATATTATCACAGAAAATAACAAAGCTGAAATATAATACAACAATTTGCTTCAAAGAATCTTGTCTCATCCTGTTTTAAAGTCATCATGAAATACATACGGATCCTTTTACACATTTTTGTTGCAACCTTCCCCCAGAGAACTGAAATGATACCAAAAGCAGATTTAAAATATGGCTTGATTTCAAGACCTTGGATTTGCCTTGGAATTTATGCTGGGAGAACATGGGTTTCGCATTAAATACATAAATAATATCACAATATGAACCAAGAAGCCATCTCATAAGGTCTACTTACATGCAAAATTTGTCAGCTCTAGACTACTAAGTATCTCAGCCACTGGCATGTGGGGAGGGGTGGTCAGTCAGATGGGCCATATCACAGCTGGCAAGGTTCCTAAGAACATGTATTGCCAGATGTCTACAAAAGCATGTGAACAAATCCTGAATTGGGGGGTGTCAAATGTGCATACCAAATCCTGACACTGTATAAATTGAGAACAGATGTTGGTGCCAAAAATTGATTTTGTCATGACTCGTGGACATATCCAACTCCATTTCACTGTGAACCACTCATCCCTCTAAGTTGCTTGCACCAGCCTGTTTGTCTAAGGAAGCAGGAAGGTAGACAAAAGACAAGAAATCAGAAGCCCCTTCAACCAAATGTTCTTCAACATTACTGGTGTTTCTTTGTTCTCCATTGAGACTGATTTCCCCATAACACTGTGATGGCTGAAGAGGCTGTTGATTTCTTACCTTTTACCCACCACCTCTGTTCCACTACACACACCTCCTCCTTAGTTTCCCACTGCCAGTCACTTATTTTTCCCTCCTCCTCCCAAACTTCTCTGAGGAAGCAAGCTCTTCAGTCAAATATTCCTCAGTACCACTGATGTTTCCATGTTTTTTTCAGAGTCTTGTCCACCAAATTACTGTTAAACAGTAGGCTTGGGTAACCACGGAAAAATTTGGTTCTAAACTCGTTTTGTTTTTAGAGGGGCCTTGCGTTTCATTTTTTTTAATAATTCCAAAATTTTCCTTTTAAAATTTTTGAAATATACGAAATTTCGTATAATTACGAATCAATTCGTTAATGGCGGATGCGATTGTGCAATATGCTAAAAAAACCTCCAAATGGGACAGGGGAAACTTCTGAAGCTTCCCTCTCCCTCTGTTGTTGACTGTTGGTGTGATAAAACAAACAACAACTATAAAACTTGCACCAGACATGCGAAAATAATTACATGTCTGACTTATACATTTTTATACACTGTATATATGATTAAAATGCATGTAAAAAGGACAAATATTTGTATTTATTCACCTGCATGAAAATCTATACCAACAGCAAAAGAAGTTCCAGATATCGGCATTAATGCATCTGTTTTATCATTTGGATCAAGGGGAACTCCTCTAATTCCTTCATGAACAGAATACATGAGGAATGATTCTATGCCTGAAGAAAACATACACAGAAACATGAAAAATTGCTTAAACAGTCACCATGTGAAATTACAAATACAAAAAACTGTTGCTTGGGGCAAGAACAATAAAACATCAGAGACGCAATCAGACATGTAGCGATGAGCCAGCTAAAGAGATACAGGAAAAGATGAGGAAAGCAATGAGCTGCATTAGATCCAGGGGGCTCTTTTATGTCCTGCATCTAACTTATTAAGGGGTGCATGAACTACCAAACAGTAAACTAAAAACAAAAGAGCCTACAAATCCATTTCTGGGCCAAAAAAGTTGCATTTCTTATGTTAAAACTGTATGAAGAAGCTTTGCAACCAATTTAAAAGGCAAATTATTGCTTCTAAGAGCACTAGATCTCCCCTTCATGGCCAGAAAAGGGTTGGTTAGGGAATCCTTCAGAAGTTGAGGGTGACAAAAAGATCTTCAGTGAACCACATGCAGACCTAAAGCTGCACTTTGCCGACTTCTACTTTAAAGCATGAAAATAAACTCCTGGGGAGGGGATTGAGAATGTTTTTCAGATGACAAGAATGTAATTTTATGTGTTTTTATTTGCTATTAAAAGTATTGCACAACTCAGAACAGCACAGAACCCCGACTGTTGTCTGAGGTTGCTGGATAAAGAAGATGACAAAGCTAATGTATAGAAGCACTCACACCACTATGGAATTTATCAGCAGTAGACAGTATTACTTATTATATGGGTTGTTTTATTCTAGCCTTACAGTAGGTCTAAATATACCCTAAATACACTTGATGCCTTCTGATCTTGGAAGCTGAGGATGGTCAGCTCTGGTTAGTACTTTAGTGGAGAGTCAGGTATTGTAGGCTGCATTTCAAAGGAAGGAACTGGTAAAACCACCCACAGGATTTGTTGAAGAAGAAAACCTTTTGAGATTTATGGGTTCACCAAAAATCAACAGGCAAATTGAAGGCACATATACATATAGCTTTATAGTCCAGTTTCAGCAGCAGTGAGGGTACCATACCTTGCCGAGTAGTTTTGAACTCCTGTTTTGGTGTTAAAAAACCCAGAAAAATAACCAGCTAATTATCTTGTTTACTAAATGAGGAAATTCCTGACATCTTTTTGCTACATACAAAGATAAGTTATTCTAAATAAATATTACTTAGTATTTAAGGATGTCTAGGATCTGTTACCCACTGCCTTGCAAATATGATGATTTGTTAACCCAGGAAATTGTTGTCACAAATCATGTCATGCTTTGTAATGAGTAACTTCCAAGATGTGGCCAGGTCACAGTTTATTCTTATTAACCAATAAAGTGAAACACTGTCTGAACATTTATCAAGTATGAGTTTTTTGTGATAATGGCTAAAATAAAATCCATTTTCCAAAGACTAATTAATTACTTGGTGAATGCAATCTACAGACTAAGTAGATCAATATACATATCAATAAAACATAGCATTGATGGTAAAGTCAAGCTCAGCAAATGTAAGGGGGAATCTAGTTGTTATAGTTATCCCGGGTGTTATGAATGCAGTCATCCCTCCACATTTGCGGCTTTGACATTTACATATTTGATTATTCATAGATTTGATTAGAAATGTTTTCTCTAGGAATTACTAGGGGCCCATCCAGATTAAGACCCATAACACAGGAGCTCCCGCAGTTTTACCTGAGGAGTCCAAACAACATCTCAAGTAAAACTTTGATCCATTCAAAACTAAGCAAATACAAAAATTTAAAAAACAATTACCGGATATACTCGAATATAAGCCGAGTTTTTCAGCCCCTTTTAGGGGGCTGAAAACGCCCCCCTCGGCTTATATTTGGGTGAAGGAGAAAAAGCTGAGGAAAAAAGGCTCTGACGCTGGCTGGTGGAATCCCTGGACTTGTCTTCGCCCCCACAGCTTCCTCTTTTACTGAATCTGTGGAGAAGCTGCCTGCGGGGCAAGTGAAGGGGAAACAGAGACATGCACCTCACTCCCTGCACGTCTTGCCACGTGCACACGCACGCCTCCATTTCTTTCCCATTCAAAGCACATACAGCCTCTCTTCCTGCTTGTCTTGCTGTGTGCGTGGAAGGAAGAGAGGCTGCATGCACGTGGAATGGGGAAGAAATGGAGGCGTGTGTGCGYGCTTGGCAAGACATGCAAGGAGAGAGATGCACACCTCCGTTTCTCCCCCCATTCGCCATGCACATGCCCTCTGCTCTCCGCATAGCAACCCAGYTGGGTTGCTGTTCGGAGAGCAAGACAGGTTGCGCACAGAGTGAATGGGGGAGAAACGGAGGCGTGCACCTCCCTCCCTGCATGCCTCCATTTCTTCCCCATTCAACGCGCATGCAGCCTCTCTTCCTTTCACGCACACAGCAAGACAATCAGGAAGAGAGGCTGCATGTGCATTGAATGGGGAAGAAATTGAGGTGTGCAGGGAATTAGGTTAATTTTAGTTTTGAAATTAACCAGTAGCGACTGCATTTCTCACCCTCAGCTTATACTCGAGTCAATATRTTTTCCCAGTTTTTTGTGGTAAAATTAGGTGCCTCGGCTTATATTTGGGTCAGCTTATACTTGAGTATATATGGTAAACAGCATTGTGTGTGTTAGGTTAAAAACACAGTGAAAATCTAATAAATACAATCAAAATGCCTTTCAAAACACCCCCAAAATCCCACCCACAAGCTCCCCAGTAACATGCCCCTTATCCTTTTCCAAATGCCAGCAGAAAAAAGTATCAGCCTGCTTGCAGAAGGCCAGCAGGGATGAGCCCATCCTGGTTTCTCTTGGGAGGGAGTTCCAAAGTGTGGGAGAAGCCACCAAAAGGGCCCTCTCCTGTATTCTCACTAAACACACTTTAGCTTTTTAGGTCAAAACAACACTTTGAATTGTGCCCTAAAACTTGTCGTCAGCTAGTGGAGCTGCTGCAACAGAGGAGTTGTTCACTTCCTGTAGCTAGCCCCAGTTAGCAGTTTCAAAGTGCTAAAATTATATGCATTTTTCTTTTGAGGTATTTAATAGTGAATTTCTTAACAAAATAATCTTTGAGAGTTTTTTAAAATATATATATATATTACCCAGTATTTTAAAAATCCAAATAATTGTACCTTGACATGACATCCGGTTTTTCCTAAGGTTGTAGCCTATTGTACACAAACATGTTCTAGTTAATTCTGAGGTTGGTAAACAGAGCTGGGAACATCCTCCATTATTGTGTTGACAGGAATTACTACCTATCACATAGGACAGAAGAAAGAAAACTGTAAAGCTTTGTAGATAATGACAAAATTTTGCATAAACTTCCACTATTTAAATTCTTATCTTGTAGATCATTCCAGAAGAACACAATTCCTGATGCACTCAATTGCTCTGTCTTTTCAGTGTTGTATATATCCCACATCTTAATCTCTATTTTGTCTAATAAGTTTGGGTAAAGAAAAGAAAAAGATCTACATTTGCCGTTGCAGATTTTACTAAGGTATCATTCCAATAAAGTTACCCAAGAAAATTGTAAGTGAGCCCTGGTAGCAAATTCATATATTGCTGTTCTGTGCCTTCAGATAATTTCCAAATTATGGTGACCCTGTCACAGGGTTTACTTGGCAAGATTTGTTTAAAGGGAAGTTATCTTTGCCTTCCTCTGTGGGCAAATATGATTAAATTCATTGAGTGCCAGTGCCACTACCAGCATACCATTAGCAGTTGTCAACAGTAATTAACGAAGCCATACCCAAAGTCTTCCAGGGCCAAAACTTCAACCTACTACAAAACTTTAAACAACTTTTGTTCCTATAGTCTCTTCTTTGTTTTAAAAATAATTTATTTTATCAAATGAGATCTTAAAATTGTGTATCTGTGATCTGTTAAAGTAAGGTGGACCTAGGAACACATGGTGGTTTCCAGTAAGCTTTTGCAGCTGGTTAGGGGAGCTCTGAAGTGGTCACCTGACATCCAAGAGACAATGACATCCTGGCACTTGACGGTTACTGATAGACTGGCCTGACTATCCATTCATTTAAGGGGGCAGGGGAGAACAGATGATTCTCGCTTTTCAACCACCACCCTCTCCTTGTTTAATTGTTCTGTTTTCTCACAATTTGGGTTGGTTGGCATGGGTTTTGGATCCAAGATAAAAAGTCACAGTGCAGATGGAGGGAACCCAATTGGGGGTTTGGCTTTGATGGGTACCACCAAAGTAGGGGCGGACACAGACCACACCAGGTATCTTGCGCCTGAGACAGACATGGTTGTGGTGCATTGTCTCAGGCAATATGACAGATAACCAGGATCAGGCAATTTATGAGATAAGGATAGCCAGCAGATGGGCTGACTGAGGACAGGATTCAGACCCATTGGAGGCCAACCCTTGTGAGATGTAACAAAATATAGTTGAAGCCTTTTAAACTCAAAATGGCATGTCTGCACTTGTGTATATGTGTACGAACAGGAGCCAACAGCCCCACATACATGGGAATTGCAGTGACAACTGTGCTTAAGTTTGACCTTGCTTCTTCAGTGTTCTGTCTGCAGTGAGCTCTCTTCTCTTTGAATCCATCCTCTTCCCTTAGGGCACATCCAGATAGTCCCTTTAATGTGGCAGTTCCTGCAATTCAAAGGGGACTGTCCAGATCACATCCTGGGCAAACTTGAATTAATTCACCACAAATTAAGAAAACCCTGGTTTGTGGCAAATTAATTTGTTAGTGGGTTTATTCCACACCTTCTTGGAAGGTGCAGCATAAACCCACTACTTCTTCTATCTGGACTGCTCCCTCAAAAGTTCTGGACTTTTGATGGGGCAGTCCAGAGAGTAGTACCACAGTGTTCTGGCATAAATAAGCCCAGAAGAATGTGAGGCCACAAACGTCCACCCCAGAAGCCCCCCTAACCCCTTTTAAAAGTAAAAGAACTTACCTGGCCTCCATTAGAGTGGTGCCAGAGCTGGCCTAGTGCTTAGAAATCCCACGGCAGGAGAGGGAGGAGGGAGGAGGGAGGAGGAAAATCACTCTCCCCCCCCTGCTGTCTTGGCAAGTCATTTCTACGTGCCAGGAGAGCTCTGGCACCACTCTAATGTAGGCCAGCTAAGTTATTTTACTTTGAAAAGGGGGTTGGGGGCTTTTAGGGAGGGGGTTAGAGTGTCCGGTTGTTCTCCCAGAAAGTTCCTGGAGAACATCTGGACATCCATCTATGAAAGTGTGTGTGTGTGGATAGGGGTCCAGGAAAATTCACGTTTTTAAAATGTGAACGTTCCTGGGATAAAAGGCTGTGTGGAAGCGTCCTTAGTTCACCTATCCCATATATGCTTTTTATTGGTTTAATCAGGGCTAAGGATGGCAGGTTCTGATCCTCTTGCATTTGGTTACCAAAGGATACAGGAAACCACAAAAGAGTGGAGGAACTTGAAAAAAAATTGCTTGCCATTTGTTGTGTCTGAAAGTGAATACCAACTTCCCATGGATTTCTGGATGCAATCCTGCTAGCACTAGGAATTCATAATCAAACATAATGCAGCATACCTTGCTGTGCTGCTTTGTCATATATTTTCATATGTACAACTCCTGATGTTTTGTTTCGTAGGACTGTAGGGTTCCTTCCATCCTTTTTATTGCAGGTTCCTAACTGGCCCAGGTTTTGGTCTGCCCACCATAGTTTCCTATCTGTAAAAACAAAATTACAGTTTTAAGAAAACATTTTGGAAAAAAATAAGTAGCCATAATAAGTATTTTAAATATCTAAATGGAATTTGGCTATGTAAATCCTTTATGCTTGTAAAATGAAAAAAAAAACTTAATGTAAAGTTGTCTACTTCTCACACAATATAGTTTCTTTTTGAATGTTTATAAATAATATAGTGTAGGCAGTGGATATCAAAAGACAATCTAGGACAATGCTAACAACACAAAATATTTCCATAACATCCCAAAGATCTTTCTTTACATTACTTTTCATATGAAAAGTTAAAAAGTAGCCTAGCTTCTCTATTTTGAAGAAAACAAAAATGGCATTTTTTAATTCCTGTGCTATTTAAATGGCATTTTTTAATTCCTGTGCAAAATATTTCCATAACATCCCAAAGATCTTTCTTTACATTACTTTTCATATGAAAAGTTAAAAAGTAGCCTAGCTTCTCTATTTTGAAGAAAACAAAAATGGCATTTTTTAATTCCTGTGCTGAGAATCACCTTTAAAAGTAAGTCCTTGTAGTAATTTTGAGAATATATGGGCAAAACATTAATCCAGGAATAGCAAATAATTCTTTTGGGGGCATTATTTTTGTCCAGAAAACATGCAGATAAAAATATTGAGGTATGAAAGTTTGTGTGGGCAGAGGGCTTGGAAAATTGGAAGATTAATAAAAGGCATTTAGTCTACATGCAATCAAAGTTTTCACTTCACCTATTCCTGGTGGTAAATTATTACATTGTGCTATTGCACAACAGGATTTCGGGATGGTTACATCGTTCTCCTTTATTATGAAAAAATTTGACTATTTCTTAATGAAGAGTGTGCTGCACCAATATTGTGGAATAGATTGTACATTACCCAAGCATCATGAAAAGGCCTCTGTTAGAGCAGCACTGTCTCTAGCCATTAGCATGGTTTCTTAGTGGACAAGATAAACTATCTCACCAACCTCTGGCCAAATTCTTTATTTTCTCCAGCCAAATTTTGTGAGAGAGGGAGAAACCAAGAAGATTTCAAAGGATGGTTCTGTTTCAGCTGTTTCCCATAGTATAATTTGTATTTTGAAAATGCTAGCTTATTCTTAGAAAGGGAGGTCATTGCTAATACGGATGCCACCTATTTAACATCATTTCCAAAGCAATCTTTAAGAAAATACTGCACTCTTTCTATAGCATCTTTCAACAGCAGTTTTCAGAGTGCCTTGCAAATAGTATGATATTCGGATATTTTAAAATATATGTAATCAAAACATAAACAGTGATACAATCAGAAGCAAAAGTCCCTTAGAACTAAAAGTTCATTACAACTATCTATTTATTTATTTGCTTCATTCATACCCCACTTTTCTCACTCCAATGGAGCGACTCAAGGCGGCTTACAACTCTGACAAGATTCAATGCTGTTTAAAACATAACCATAAAACATATCCCATCAACTAAAACAATGAAAACAAATAAAACACATAGAATAATAACAGATTAAAAACTGATGTTGCTGGGGAGGAAATTCCATAGCCGGGGGAGGGGGGGGGCAACTGAGAAGGCCCTGTCTCCACAGCTATTTACTCACTTTCGATCTAAATCTTACCTATAAAATCAGTGTGACTTATGAAGGACTGGACTGCACCAAGGTTTTAAAAAGCCTGGAAGGCACAAAATGTCCCCCATAGATTGCAACACAATTTAATTTTGAGATCAAAACTATTCTCTTTTTTGTAAGCAGCATCTGCCCTGTTTTAATTTATTTTATTATTTATATACTTGAAACCCTGCCTTTCTCCCCACTGTTTTAACATATAATATAGTAGTACATGATATGTAATTTTAAATTATATTTTATAGGAGTAATTCACAAACATATCTTATCAAGTCATTTAATTAGTACACCATTTTGGTTTCTGCACTTCTCTGTTGATTATAATAAAGATCATTTTATTATTTTGTTATATTTTGTCTTTCAAAATATACAGATTTATTACTTTTTTTCTTGAGACTTTCTTGGACCCACAAGTGTGCTCAGTGTATTTCTGCTGCCACTGAAAGGAAAAGGATGGGACAGTATTGTCTTCTATTGTTTCATCTAAAGTTTGCTTCCACATAAATAGAGGCAAGTCTAGATCCCATTCCACGTGGTAAAAAGTGGGAAACACGGGTAAAATAAATGTGCATTTACATTGGTGAGACAGTCAAAATTAATAAGTATTTTCTTGTTGGCAAGACTGCATCTATTAGAAGCTACATGGGACCCATACATATGAATAATAAACATGTAATATGATTATATTCTGTGTTTCTACAGCAGGCATGGACATGCTTAGGCCCTCCAGGTGTTTTGGACTTCAACTCCCACAATTCCTAACAGCCTGCTCAATTAGAAATTGTGCACAGCTTCATTTTGAAAACAATACTGGTTAATGACAAGCTGTAAAGTGTGAGTGGTTTCAGACTAGGAATTCTGGCACTGAGGTTCAGTTTCTTTACTCTCTTAGATACTGTAGCAGCTTGAAGGTGAAAGGAACTGCTGAGGTGATCTCTGCAGGGGGTTACAAACTCAATTTGAACTCTTAAGCAACACAGATAGTAATCATTCATGTAATTTGCATCCCCCCTGGGGGGCTTTAAGGGTTATATATGCAGTTTTTTGAGGCATTACATGTATGCATGTGCCCTCAAGTTGTCTGTTGACTTATCAAGACCCATGAATTCCATAGGACTTTGTTATTTATTTATTTATTCATTTATTTATTTACCGTATTTATATACCACCCTTCTCAGCCCGGAGGCAACTTAGAGCGTCTCCGGGCTGTTAGGCAAAGAATATTTGGCAACCGCTATTCGTTGGCAGTCTCCTTTCCCAGTACTACTCTGTGCTAACCTTGATTAGCTTCTAAATCAGATGATACCTTCTGCTTTTGTGATTTAGACTATAAGGTCAGAATGAAATAGTTCTATGCCACTTATTAATCTTCTAAAAGCAGTATAAACTTGTACAGATATAAGGTAAGGCAAGCAGACAAAATATTCACAGTTCTTACCATCCCTGGAGTTCTATCTATCTATCTATCTATCTATCTATCTATCTATCTATCTATCTATCTATCTATCTATCTGGAGTTCTGTATATTATTTTTAAGACAAAATTCTCAGAGCCAGTCTATTGTTTTTTAGCAAGTTTAGATTAAAACATTATTTATTTTATGAGTTATATATAGCACATTTCTGCTGCCACTGTAACACAGAACATGAAATCTAGACAGTTCATTTCTTGTTTATTTATTCTCTCCGGAAACTGTCTTAGAGTAAAGGCAGCAGTTCAGCTCCTGGAAATCTGGCAAGATATATCCACAGCTTGAGTTAGAGACTAGCCAAGAAATATTTATTTATTTGATCAGTCATATGACCATTTCAGAATAGAACACGAGTGAAATAATATAAACTGTTATGAGCATCTTGATGGGGCAGCTGAATACAAATAGAATTGTTTGAGGCAGAAATATATCTTATAGCAATTCTAACTGCAAATATTTATCAATGAATCACAAACATTTGCTTTTAATGGCTTGCTAATTAATGTTGGAGACAGCAGAAAAATCAGTTCTCACTCCATCCTATGCAGTGATCCATTTGGTTGAATCATAACTGAAAAATGTAATTCCCAGGACTGGGCAAATCAAGCGATGATTCTCAAATTATTAAAACACAAAAAGCCCTCCTCAAAACCAAGAAAAATTCTGGGAAAAAAATCTTTTTCAGCACTGTGATCCTGTCAGGATTTGTAATGAAAACAAAGTATGTCATCATATTCAGGTATTAACTACTAACTACAGAATCAGAATGACAAGACAAGTTTCATAGGATGATGGAACTAGATTGTGATGCCTGCTGTCTGATGCAACCATAGTGCAATGTTGGGACATCATGTATAATACAAAACAATATGTGATTGGTCAGACCTAGGATAAAAGTGGCACACGTAGCATAATGAATGTGTATGATTGTTTATGCTAGTCTTTTTGCTGCTGTTCATCATGGACAAAGAAGAGAGATCTATGTGGGAGAATTGCTGTGAAGATTGCTGAGATGAGGAGAGAGTGAGAGGGCTTGTCTTTTGTATAGAGCTTTGCATGTATATATTGCCGTTATTGCATGATACAATTCTTCCTGATTATGGAAAGAAATTCCTGTTGTTCTTGCCTGTGTTTGCTGTTCTAATCAGGTAAAACCAAATTACTAGAATAGGGAGAACTTCCATCACTCATAGAATGAGCACACAAAATATTTCTCCTTCCCCACTCCCCTGTCTTTATATTCTGGTAGTTGCTTTCTTTGGTAGAAGTGGGATTTCTCATGCAACTAACATTTCCAGAATGCCCCACTGCACCCTGGTTATAATGCACTCTTGGGAAGAAGAATGTCAACATCTTAGAAACCATTCCACTTTCAAAAGCCATTATTCAAAACTGAAATTCATGATATTGTAATAATGCAGTTAGTCAGGGAGAAATGTATGAAAATTATATATATATATATGTGTGTGTGTGTGTGTGTGTGTGTGTGTGTGTGTAATCCACACATGCCTAATATTTCATAAATCATGTGCTTCTACATAGTTAATTCAAATTTTGTAAGAATGGGAGTAAACTTTCTATAATACCAAATATATGAAATGAAAACCATTGCAGCTACATTTAAATCAACGTTAAACATCAAACTGTTTTAGCTATAAAGAACCAATGGCAAAGATTCACCATTCCCTTAGATATATTGCACACATATACATTAAAATATATTTTAGGAATCTGTAAAATCCCTTTCTTCACATAATTCAGGTGAAAATTTCATAGAACTGGGCGAACCATATCAACCCCCCCCCCCCCCAAACACTAGTGAATTAATAAATCAAAAGTGGCTTGATTGGCACTATGTATGAATTGAAAGAATATCTGGAAGCATTCAAAAATGGTTTTAAAACA